TTGCTGTCTGTGCGTGCAGAACTGTCCACCTATCTGCAAGCACATCTGGAAGCAGCGCAGCTAGGACTCTGCTTCGCTGAAAGCCACTACTGCTATTCATATAATTAATAACCATGACCTTTCTGTACAAGGAGTATCTTTTTCAGTGAATTACAATATATAATGATGCTTGCAGGAAACAGACTGCTGAGTATCTCATGCCCAAGGAAGCCAAAGCTTCCTATTTATGACACGGCAAGATCAATAAATAACTCCATTACAGGAAAATTTGTCATGGCAAATGGCTTCAGCCTGTGGGGTACAAGCTGAAACGCAGCTGGAATCCATAATGAAATAACAAAAGTTATAATGGTCCCATTGAAGCTCTCGGGTGACTTGTGTGAGTTTGGGAATGTCCGGTTGCTCCCTGGGGAGGACCCGGTGCCCCCACAGTACGTTAATACAGATGGAGATGGGGAAGAACCAATATGTGGGAGCACTCTTGGGCATTATGTTGCTGCTCGCTCATAGAGCAAGGACGGGAGCCACAGCATCAGTGTCCTCAAAATATCGGCTTAGTGAAGGCTGTGTGGTGACATCAACAGCACCCCTTCATTTATGAAAAAATAAGGTTGAACGTTTTCATAGTGTCTTAACACCCCTTCAAATCCCTCTAGCCTGAGTACTTTCACAGAACAGTGTTTCCTACCTTATATTACAGACAGCTTTTTGTTAATATTTGAGCAATGAAGAAAGCACAGCAGCTGTTAGCATCATTTTTCCCTTGAGGCAGATTGTCCTCAGGTAAAACAAAACACAATTAAGGTACCAGCAAGGTCAGCTACATTAGACAATTCATATCCTCATAATGCAGATATTGCTTTCAATGTCTGTCACCAGCATCGAATCCCCAACCACAGCAAGATAATTGGCAGCCTCCTTCTAGGGGGAAGATGAAACTGGTTGTGCTGCCACCAAAACCAGCCTGGATTTTGTTTGTGTAAATGCTGGAGCCTGGGGGTGGTATCGTTCATCTAGCTATATTGCTGGAGAGTCATGTATCAAGGACAGGCTTCTGAGGCGGCTTCTGTCTCCCTCCCGTTTACTGCTCCTTTAATTACAAACCAGATGTTGGGGAAAGATTTAAAAGTCAACTTTATTTGAAATTCTGAAATATAAAAAACCTGACCACAACAATTTTTTGTGTGGTGGGGAGGGGAAACATGAAGGAGAGAAATGTTCTTTAATCCTTTGCTTATAGCTCTTTTCTACTTTATTTTTAACTCTTATTTTTTAAAGCTGTGGTTGCTTTTTTCTTTTATTAAGTGGCCAAAGGCATTCCTCTTCTTCTTTCTGCCCCCTCAAGCCCCCAGAAGAGTTTTTAGGATTTTCTCTGGGAACAAGACCTCACCCGAGACCTTCTCCCTCCCAGCCAGGATTGCTGTCATACATTCCTCTGCTGTTTATGCCCCAAGAGTGCTCAGAAACATCAAATGCAGCTGCCCACTTGCTTGACTATGTTTCATTTGGGGAATGTGTCGCACCTCCTCTCCAGCACCCGTGCAGGCTCCCAAGTGTCTGGAAAGGAGCCAGTGCTAACCTCAAGGCCTGCATGGCTGGAGCAGTGGGATTCCTTCCTTGCAGCTGGAGATGCTGGTCCCTAGGTGGTGTGTGGGTACCGGGATGCAGAAGGACCTGGGTGTTGAGCTGCTGGTGCCATATTCCAGAACACTGCAGTCAATTAGATGGAGAATCCTCCAGAATCATAGAACTGTTTAGGTTGGAAAAGACCTTTAAGATCGAGTCTAAGCATTAACGAAGCACCGCCAAGTCCACCGCTAAGCCATGTCCCTAAAAGAAGGCATTAGAAGCTCTCTGATCCAACAAGGGAAAGTATCTAGAGGAACCTGAAGTCTACCATCGTCGCTTTGGAAGGTCCTCAAGAGGTTGACCTAGCCATCATTGAACCTGACTGCTGAATCTCAGCAAGGATTAAATGGGTGTCATAGGCTTATTTTAGCAGCAAAGTTATGTACAAAGGTAAAAGTCCCTTCATACAAAATGGAAAGCTTCTGCTGAAAGGGAGGCAAAGCAATGCTGTACCACTTTTTTTTTCTGTTCTAACACACCAGCACTCAGCCCCAACTAGAAAGGAGAGAATGGTCTGAGGAGGCAAAGGATGTAAGAGGAGGAACTGCTTCCTCTTGTTCTCACCTGCCAGCTCCCCCCAGCTACTACATTTTTCGCTCAAAGTTTCATTACCTATTTACTGTGGTATTAACCCTTTGGTTAATCTAAGGTCACCTAAGGGTGACTCTCATAGGGAAGCACCCAGTACATTTGATCAAGTCCAACCTGTTTTTATCAGACTGTTGAGAATGTAGTGTAAGGTCAGGAGCAGTTATATCGTTCAGTTCCTTGCTGAAGAAAGCCTTGACCTTAAATAAGGTTCCCCTTTTGTATGATGTTAAGGCAGGTGAAGTGCTCCGCTCACAGCTACATGATGGGACTAATAGAATGTAATGTCAGTGGAAAAAAACCCAGCAGACTTCCACAGAATTTGTGTGTGTGAGCACACAAATTGTTCAATATCCTTATAAATGATCTAAATTTTCTAATTACAAATATCTGGAAGGAGTGAAAGCTGAGGGCAAGAAGACAAACCCATGTAACAGTTTGGAAAGCTGTGAGAGCCAGGTGTAATGCCAGCCACAGGGTTAAACTCACTTATGGATGCGGGGAGGGAGGAGAAATAATCTGTAATCATGCAATAATGACTCTTTGAGGGGCTGGGAGCCAGCACTGGAGCAGGGGCAGCCAGGGGAAAATGGTGTGTTTATTGAGACAAGCAAGTCACAAGATGGCTGCAACAACTCGTATCTTAAAGCAATTTAGTTGGTGTTTTCGTTGAAGATGCGTGGGTGCAGGCATGTGCTGCAGCAAGACCAATGATGGGGTGAGGGGTTCTGTGGTTTGGGGTCCCACCTCAGAACCTGGTAATAAACTGGAGGCAGATGGAGGAGGCTGCAAGCAGGCTGCACTGTGAGGGCACTGAGGAGCATGGGGGGTGGGTGGGGGTGGGTTCAGGCTCTCACTAAGTTATAGGGAAGAGCTGAGGCGTGCAGCAGCAGGGGCAGCGGAGCAGTGATTCCACCCCTGCAACTCCGGGAAGGGAGACCCTAAGCTACCCCCCAGTCTCCCCATGACCTCTGGGCCATATCAAATCATGACCCTCGAGGCCTGAAGAAAGTCCATGGCACAACTCCAGCCTACAGCTTCTACCAGAGAAAATGTCTGGGTCCCAGTTAAATGCACTCAGTGCACCTGCTTTCCAACTGGCACTTCACCTCCCGCTACTCCTGTGTAGGAAAAGGCATCACCAGGCTCCTCACCCCCTGCAACAGAAGCTGAGCTGGACATTCCTAACACAGACTGTTCTTGCAATGTGACAAAAGGAAGCAAAACATCAATGGCAACATTGCTTACAAGGGGAAACTGGAAGAACTATTTACATGTCACTTGAAGGAACAGTATAAAGCAGTGGATCTGTAACCAGAGACCCAATTATTCAGTGAGAAATGTAGATGGGAAGTCCCAATTACAAAGGTCAACCCAAATACTAGACAAAAATCGTGCAGTCAGTCAGTTAGTGGAGCAACCTAACTGTGCTGCAGCGTGGCTCATTGGTCCCAATTACAGCGGTTTGCACTAACAAAGGGTGATCTCTAGGCTGTAAAGCCTATAATCTAATCTAAAATTCAGTGCGACCATGAAAATGGAGGAAAATGGAGAGGAGAGTAATGTAAAATATGATTAAGTCTTTGCTAAGCAAATGCAATCAGCGCACTTACAGACAAGTGGTTGAGCGTTGTGAGCAGGTGGGGCTAGTTCTGGTCTCGCATGGAGGCTTCGAATCTTTCTTGCCACTTGTGGAAAGCCCCTCGATGTAGAGATGCTGGTTCTCCCTCTCTCCTGCCGCTTTCCAATTTCTCGGGTCAGGGGATGCTCCCAGCACGGCGAGTCCGACGGTCCCGCCGTGCCAAGGGCTGGAGAGGCTCTGGCGCGCTCCTTGCCAGTCACACGCCATCTTGTGTGTACCAGGAGCAGCAGGTCTCCGGGAGGGACGGTACCGTCCCGCCTCCGAAACCGGGCTCGGGTAAACGAGCGATCGGACAGGAGATGCTGGTAAGGGGCCCGGGGAGGCTGCGGACAACCCGCTCCAAGTGCACTTCGCTCCCCAGTGAAACCCAGACTTTCTAAAAGACGATTCGTGGTTTAGCAAACACAACTGCCTCCTTGCTCCAGGAACGCACAAGCTGCCACTGGGCTCAGGGCATCCACAGACGGGTCAAGAGCGGCATCGGGGCGGGGTGTGGGCTCAGGGTTGGGCAGTTCGTTACACCACTTTGTCCCTCAGTCTTGCCTCACCCGTGCTCGGAGGCTGCCCATGAGTGAAGCTGCCCGGGGACCACAACCGTTACCCAGGTCGGCGATTTAGCACTGCAAGCGGCAGTGGCAAGTCTGCTGTTGCATCGGGAGCTCGCCTTGACACTACATCTGTCTGGCTACTCGTGGGAAAATTCTGTCTGTGGCGGGCTCCCAGCTCCCGCTCCCCTCAGGACACTCGCGCAGGGCGGGCCGCCCCGGCGGCGGATGGAGGCTCTTGGCACATACACCCGCGACAGATGCTCCTGCCGGAACCGTGCCCGGCCCCTCGCAGTCTCTCCCGTCCCGGACCCAGGCTCCCGGCCCCGCACCTCCCTCAGCCCCGCAGAACGCCGCTTCCCTCAGCTCCGCGCTGCGGGCTGTGCTCCCCGGGACACTCCGCCCGGCCCCGCAACACGAGCGCTCCCGCCCCGGCAGCGGGAAGCCCCGGCGCGGCCCGGTAGCCGCCGCCACCTCCCCCCGCTGCCAGCGCCGTCCCCAACTCCTCATTGGCCGCCGCCGCCGGAGGAAGGATGACGCCCGGTCGGGAGCGGGCGCCGGGGGTATAAATGCGGTGCGGGCAGCCGGCGCCGTGCTCACGCCGCCCCGCCCAGCCATGCCGCGAGGGTTCCTCGTCAAGCGCAGCCGGCGCCCCGGCGGCTCCTACCGGGCGCGCCCGCGGGAGCGGGACCCAGACCGGGAGCCGCCACCTGCCCCGCCGCCCCTTCTGCCGCCCACCGCCGGGGGCAGCCCCGCCGCCAGGCCTGGGGCGGAGGAGCAGGAGGAGGGCGAGGAGGAGGAAGGCGCTACCGCCGCCGCGTACCCCTCGACGTGGCCCCCCGGCGGTGGCGGCAGCCCTGGTCTGGCCCCGCCAGAGGGACCGGCTGCCTGGGGCACGGCTGGGCCCTGCAGCGCCGCAGGGCCGCGGGCAGCTCTCTTCGAGCGGTGCCTCAGCTCCCCCGCCTCCGCCGAGTCCTTCCCCCTGGCCGCCTCCTTCCCGCCTACCGAGAAGCTGCTGCTGCAGCCCCGCACGCCTCTGCCCGTCCCGCCGCCGCCGCCGCCGGTGCCCGCGATGAAGCGGCCGTCTCGGGCCAAGGCGCCGGCCAAGAAGGCCAAGGCCACGCGAAAGCTGAGCTTCGCCGACGAGGTGACCACTTCGCCCGTGCTGGGGCTGCGCATCAAGGAGGAGGGTCCCGAGGGCAGGCCGGGGCCGCCGACGGGGCGGACGCCGCTGGGCGAGTTCATCTGCCAGCTGTGCAAGGAGCAGTACGCGGACCCGCTGGCGCTGGCCCAGCACCGCTGCTCCCGCATCGTGCGCGTCGAGTACCGCTGCCCCGAGTGCCACAAGATCTTCAGCTGTCCCGCCAACCTGGCCTCGCACCGCCGCTGGCACAAGCCGCGGCCCGGCCCCAGCTCCGACGGCCCCTCCGCCGCCGCCGCCCCGCCGGGCAAGGAGAACAGCCCCGAGCGACGGTCCCGCGGCCCCGCCGCGCCCTCGCCACAGCCGCCGCCGCCGCCGCCGCCCCGTCAGCACCGCGGCGGCGCGGACAGCGCCAGCGGCGCCCAGGTTCCCCCCGGCCCCGCTTCCGGCCCCGTCGGGGAGGTGTTCGCCTGCCCCTGCTGCCAGAAGCGGTTCCGGCGCCAGGCCTACCTCCGCAAGCACCTGGGCACCCACGGGCCGTCGCGGCCCGCCGCCTACGGCCCGCCGGGGCGCGGCCAGGTTGCCTTCGCTTGCCACCTCTGCGGCGCCCGCTTCCCCTCGGCGGATATCAGGGACAAGCACCGGCTATGGCACGCCGTCCGGGAGGAGCTGCTGCTGCCGCCGCCGCCGGCAGGGTCCCCCGAGGGCGGCGCGGTGGGCGGTGAGCGACAGGGCTTCCCCTGCAAGCACTGCCCCGCCACCTTCTTCAGCGCGCCCGGGCTGGCGCGACACGCGAGCAAGTGCCACCCGCCGGAGAGCAGGCAGGTCCTGCTGCTCCAGGTGCCCGTCCGTCCGGGCTGCTAGGAATGGGGCTGCTCCGGGAGCCCGGGCGGGCCGAGCGAGTCCTGTCCACGCTGTAATTCCTATGGAAAGTCACGGCTACGCCGGCCGAGGGGCCACCCAAGGGCTCCTCTCTGCCCTCCCCGGTTGGCGGGTACCGGAGTTCGGCCCCGCGGCAGGAGGCTGATCCGACAGGCGGCACTGCCGGGGCGGGCGGCAGCGCCCGTGCCGAGCCGCACAGAGGTGGTGGGAGCGCAGCGGGGTCCGTGGGACGCCGGGCAGCCGCAGGGGGGGGGACTGGCGGTGTGGGCACGAACCAGGGCTGGCGGCAGCACGCAGGGGAGCCTGGCCCTGGGAGGCCGGCCATGCGGGGAGCCAGGCGTCAACTCACTGCGAGTACATCTTACGTAGCTACCCCTCGGATAGAAGTTCAGCTGTATATATGGTATTTAAAGAGAGGAATTATTTTTCGTGAGAAAAGGAGCCTAATCTAGTGACCTTGTTTTAATAGCCTTAGCCCCTGAGCTTCAGCATTTAAGTTACTGTGAGGTGTTTTGTTTGCTGTACTCTGTACTAAGATAGTTGAGAAGGTAAATGTTCATATTAAGTCAATGTCAATGTCAAGTCATACAATAGCTAGCAAAACGTATGGAAAATGAATTGTGCTGTCTGCTTAATTAAAGTACGAGGCGTCAATTTCTATAGCTAAGTGCACATCTCCCGCTTGCTCTGTGTTCCTGTGCTCTAGCTAGCGACCGTGTGGTAGGCAAATGCACATCGCCGGTAGCTGCCCGTTTCAAAACCTGCTGTCAGTGGCTTGTCAGTGCGACACTTACAATGGCACAAGGCACAGTTGGGTCTCACCAGGCCCTGCGGCGTGGCAGGCAGAAGGGCCCTGTCTACACCTGGCCTTTTTGGGCAACCTCCGACCCCTCTTCCCCGTGAGCTGCTGAAGTGTGGGTGGTGAGCTGCTGTCCGTCTCTCTAACGAAACCTACCTTTAGCAAAGCAACCCGAGGCACGTATTCCCTGGCTTTGACAGTGCTCTGGCCACATGCTTTGAAATACTGTCAGATTTACCAGCTCTGACATTTCAGCCGGCATTTATTTATTTACTTATTATTTATTTTTCCACACAGGAGTGCCTGTTTCTAAATGTGATAGCAAGTGAGGCCAAAAGGGCGGGCAAGCAAAATTCAACAAAGGATTTAAAACAAAGCTCACCTTTTTCTTGAATTCAGCAGGACAAAGTGGGTCAGCTGGTGATTTCTGAAGAATCAAACTGATCCCAGCCATAGTCTTTGTTCTGTCACTCTGAAATGAGCATGCAAAATATATCAATCTCTTGATTAGCATCCTCTAAAGCAGCCATTGCTGTAGTTTTATATTTTGTTACACACGACATAAGAATCGTGTATTTAAACCCAGATGCTGAAGCAAGTGCTAAGTGCTTCATTTGAAATGTGTTTCATGGACTTTCTTGGTTTAGTTCCAGGACCTGGACAAATGAATACAATATAACCTAAAGCAGTCAAATTTGCCTTCTGATGGAGGAGGCTGAACTAGCAGCTTGCTCTTCTCATATGCCAGAAATAAAGCATGTTATTTTAAGTTGTGCATTTACCCATCATTTGGTAGTTAACGGAGACTTAGCTAAAAATGCCTGTTTCTGCAGTTAGACGAGCTCTCCCCTGGAGAAGGTTGCTGTGTTGAGTCATAGCTCTCCTTTCTCTACTTGTGCAGTCAAAGATGAAGGGCTCTGGACCACAGAAACCTGATTACTAACTGCTCCTACAATCAGCACTGGAACAACCAGCCCTGTTGTTGCAGGAGGGAAAGTCCTGTGCTTTCCATTACGTGTGGAGCTGCGTGCATTCTATTTACTAGATCCAGGGAGAAGCTTGTTGGCAGTACGGCGTGCAGTATGTGGGTTGGGAAGGAGCCCCCAAGAACTTGTGTGTACTTTTTACTACAAATGAAAACTAAGCCATGTATCACACTTAACTGCTCCACATGTAATACTCTGTTCTTCAATCAGTTGTCAACTGGAGTAAGAATCTAATCACTGTGGTGAATGACCAGTTTCCAAAAGGTGGTAAGAATAATTTTATTGTATTATTAAATAGCATGTCTTCTCTTCAACCATTACAAATCTGTAGATACTACATGAATGACAATACATTAATTTTTTATTGTTGCCCATAAGATATATTTACACATGCAGTTAGTACCGATGTCATGCTACATTTTGTTAACAGCATTTTGTTGTTTGCCAGACTCAAAATGTGAGCATTTCATCTTCTGCAGGAAAGCACCTCTGGGAGGGTGGAACGTGTGTACTAATCTGCACTCACAGGGTTGGAATTGTCAGCATTTCAGCCAGGCTCCTGGAGGATGTTCCCTTTTCTCCCCTAGCACACATCATCAGAGCACGAATTTCTATCAGGAAAGTTGTTTTGTTTTGTTGTGTTTTTTTTTTTAATATAAGAAACAAGAATTTACCTCTAGACCCAGCCGCCTGGTGATAAAAGGCTTTAAACCCCGTGGAACTCGATGGCATTTACTATTGATACCAGCTGGACCAGGCATAAGTAAAATTTCAGCACAGTGATTTTTTTGTTTTTTTTCTGGCACAGATTGTGGCATCACCTGCAGAGTTATGAAATAATACGCTGCTTTGTGAAGAAAGATTTGGTGCTACGCTCAAGTTATTCCGCTTGGACTCTGCAATGCTTGAAAGGCCGTTGAACTATTTTATTCTTAACATAAATAAACCTGTACACATCCTGTGCATTAACATTGTGACATCTGACAAAGACTTTACAAATGCAACTTCAATTTAAAATTGTACATTCATTTTCAAATTGTACATACTTCTTTGTTACAGAGAAAATTGCAGTGGGGCACAATAAATATAATGTATTCAAAATACAGTTTCCAATTTCATATATGACTCAGGATCAGCCAGAGTTAAAAGTAACTACTTTTAAGATATTGTAATCATCCCGGAAGGTAAAAGGTGCAGAGGACGAACTGCACTGCAAGGAAAAAAAAAAAAGAAAAGAAAAAAAGGCAGCCTGAAGTTTGATAAAAACCCAAAAGCTGAAACTTTAAAGTAAAATTCCAGTGTCACTGTTGAAAATAAAACATACAGAAAAGGGGAATGCAGGAGACAGGCACACGCATTATTCTAATGGGAAGCAGTGAGTCACTGTGGGAAGGAAGGGTGGCCGATCGCTGTTCACTAGAAAGCTGCAGGCATCTTGCCACTCAGGACTTGTTGGCTGAGCCAGAGGAGCGGCGCAGTTTCATGGACATGCGGCTCTTGCTAGTCCGAGGAGACATTGGAGAGGCTAAGTCTGTTCCATCCACCTGTGCTGTTGCTGCTGCTGGAGTTTCTCCCGGCTGAGTCTCGGGGCAGAAGCCTGCAGAGGACAGCAAGAACCAGATAGGTCAGTGCTGCCTTCTGCACTCGCAGCTCAGGATCTATTCACAGGGGGCAAAGAGGAATTTCAGTGCTGCTGTCACTCCCACAGCATCTCCTAGCCCTTTACCAGCTGTGGGTGATGGTACTGCATGTACCCCAACAGCCACAAATCTACCTCTAGAGAAAAGAGGATGCCAGACACCACTGAGCTATGGGACTGCAGAACCCCCTTGCTCTCAGGAATTGAGGCAGCACTGAAGTGGGTGGTGTTCTCTTGCTAACAGAGAGAACAAACACCTCCAGTTCCCTCACAGGGATAGGGAGTTGTTATTCAAACCACAACCCAGAAGAATCCAGTCTTTAATGAGAACATGAAGGTTAACAGCTTGTTGCGCATGAAGGGAGCTCTGGGAATGCAGCTGAAGAGGTGGAGTGAATCAGGGGCAAACTGGGAGAGCAAAACATCTCCCATCCCAACTTTAGTAAGTGCTTCAAAAGGCAAATTCCTACAGGGTCCACAAGGCAGAAGCTTGAACAGAACATACTAACTGGATGTACTAATTGTTAACGTTTCTTTGTAAAAGGAACAAGATGAATTTGAGACAACAGGAAATAGTTCATTGGCCCAGCACCTAGAGCTATGCTCCAATGGGCCCCGAGTCCTCACTGCCAAGAGGACAAGGCTCTTCCTCACAAACAGCCCATCTCCAAATCTTCTTCCATAAAGATACCAAAGGAAAGGAGAAAATACAAAACCAAAATTACATTCTCCTTTCCATGGTACAGAAAATGAACACTGTGAACTCATATCCACAAAACAAAACAGGATTTCAGTTACCCATTTAGAGAGGCTGACAGCCTGATTGAACTCAGCTACCTGTCACCACTGTGGTCGCATCTGACCTATATAAATTATGGACAGAAGCTTAGTCCTGCAGAAGTCAATAGGGAAACCCCTACTGACTTCAGTAAGCCAGAGATCACTCGCTATTTCTTTCACATCACGCTATTACTGGTAAGTTTTTTTTAAAACAATAATAATGCCATGCTCAGAACTGAAGATCTCCCTCCCTCAGTATACAATTTCATGTATAAGGGGTGCAAAACCCATTCAAAAGTGAGCATGATTTATTTTGAAAGACTCCTCTAAAATCAAAGGTCATCAGGTAAGAAGTTTAAGAGTACATTTCAAACATACTGCATAAAGTCCTGTGATTTAGTGACCTGGCTGGCCTCCTCACCTGGTCCATCACCTCCCTGCTCCAGAGTGACAGCACCATACTTTCTATCTTTTTCAAACTGACATGACCCATCAAAGTGACAGGGAGGAGAAAGGGCTGTTATTTGTCCCCAGCTGGTGACAGTAATTCTGTTCATGAACTAGGTACTTCATTGCCAAACAACCTGGAAAAGCATGGTAATGCCTGACTCACTGTGCCTTATAGAGAAAGGCAGGCAGGGAAACATGCACTCTCATTTTCTGAAATTCTATCTTGTTCTAATTTTACAAGGAATTAAAGCATTTCAAGTGGTGCAAGTTAGAGAACAGAAAATAACCGTTGTTGTTTTGCACAGCATACCATTCACAGCTAGCGTGAAAGACCTTCCGTTTCAAGCCTTTGCCCTTTACCTTGATGTGGCCAATGCTTTCTAGTGGAGGTTTTGGAAGGAGAAGAAATATCACAGCATTTCTTTCTTTGTTGAGAATGAAGAAGTGATGAGGAAGGAGGAGTGGAAAGAAGTGAGGAAGGGGAAGGAGAAAAGATAAAAGATAACAGGCGTGAGACATGAGACACGAACAGCAGAGATTGAAGGGTATTAACAGATGAGCACAGGAAACGGAATTTCGAAATTCATTATGCAATTTCTGCTCATGCTACAGGTTAAAGAGAGTGATGAGTTAGTTATGTGCAATGAAGCAACAGCTCTGAAATCCGGCGTCATACTTACCAACTAAGCATTAAAAGAGAAAGAAAAAGGAAGAGAAAGAGAAAGAAAAGAATTCTATAACATTATCCAGATCCAGCAACCTTATTCACAGCAACTGAGATACATCCTAAACATTGTCTGAAATGCTTACTTAAAGTCTGTGAAAACAGTTACATACTCACACACATACACACAATCAAGAAGGAAAAACAAATGGCAACTTGATGTATGGCTTCTGCTCCCCAGCTATTCCATAATATTAAGTATGCTGTAATTTTAGCCAGTCTCAACATGAGACTCCTCAAATCACATAAAGAAGAAAACCCAGAGTATTTAAGCGAGTGAGTTTGTGTCAAAGGGTCAAACCCTAATATGAAATTTGATAATGGTTGGATAAAGAAAATATTACACCCCCCCCCCCCCCCCGTTACTTTAATTTTTCTGGTCATAACTTAAAATTTTGTTTCTAATTCCTGCAGACCGAAGCATAGATTGAGATGTAATCCCATTTTT